AGAAAACTTTCAGTTAATTAGGTTGATGTTTGTATTTTTGTTCTTTAAATTTGGTAGAAGACTAATAATTAAGTCGTCTGGAAAGTAATCCAGCTGGAAGACTTTCCAGATGACTTAATTATTAGTCGTCTGAGAAGACTAACACAAATTCTTAATACATACTCATAAAGCCTGGACGACTTAGTAGAAGACTAATAATTAAGTCGTCTAGAAAGTCATCCAGCTAGAAGACTTTCCAGATGACTTAATTATTAGTCGTCTGAGAAGACTAACACAAATTCTTAATACATACTCATAAAGCCTGGACGACTTAGTAGAAGACTAATAATTAAGTCGTCTGTAAAGTCATCCAGCTGGAAGACATTCCAGATGACTTAATTATTAGTCGTCTAAGAAGACTAACACAAATTCTTAATACATACTCATAAAGCCTGAATGACTTAGTAGAAGACTTAATACATAGATACATAACACAAATTCTTAATACATATATTCATAACACAAATTATTAATACATAGATTCATAACACAAAGACTTTCCAAATGACTTAATTAAAGGTCATTCTTTACATTGTTCTTTTGTATGACCAGTTTCTCTGCCTACTGAGCATCTATAAACTCTGTGTTGATTCCGGGGTTTGCGTCCTCTCATCCGGGATAGCTCCAACCAAGATTGCCATCTTGATTTCTTTGTCTCCCCGGACCACGCTTTTCAGCCGGAGGATCGCATGTGCATTCCTCAACTTGTTGTCCAGCACAAGGATATATATTCTCTTAGTATCCTGCAAACAAATAATTCTTTGAGTAGACTAGATGTACAAGTGTGGAGATATGCACACGAGAATGTGATCCAGCAGCTATAGCATGAGAGTAAGGTATTTTATCCATTTGATAGACACCACAATCACACTTTCCATTCTCCAAATCAACCACACAGTCCATTTTGCCACCTTTCACAAATAATTTTCATCCATCAATTGGTTGGACCCTCATCTTATCCGCTATCTCCGACCGAACAACAAGTAAGTATTCAGCACCCCGACTATGATCTGTTAGGAGACTCAAAGAATCTTCTCTCCTTTCCCAAAACCACTTTCCTAGCTTCTCCCTTATGAACCCCAACATGAACTGAATCGAAAATCTTCTAGCTCACTTCAGTGCAAAATTAATAGATTCAGCGATGTTGCTTGTTTTCATGTTGTAACTGTCTCCCTGACAATAAACCCTTGACCATAGGCTAACGTCGGCATTCTCCAAATTCGTTGCAAGGTTCGGGTTTGCACTCCGTATCTCAGCCATGTATCGGTCAAAATTTGAAACCGTATGAGCATAAGCAGCACCTTTCACCAAGTACAAGAGATGTTTCCCTTTATATTTTTTGACAATGTTATCTTGAAGGTGATAATAACATATTCGTCGGGTTGCCCAATGAAATACCTTATCACACGCACTTTTAATGGCGGTGTGCCGGTCGGAGACTATCTCCAGAGGCTGCTCATCAGATACACAAGTAGCCAAATTTGTGAAAAACCATTCCCATGAAGGTTCATCTTCGGGATCTACGATCCCAAAAGCCAATGGAAATATCTGAAAAATCCCATCTTGTGCGGCTGCAACTAACAAAACACCTCCATACTTCCCTCTTAGGTGAGTCCCATCCACCACAATGACCCTTCTTTGATACTTAAAACCTTAGGTAGAAGCTCCGAAAGAGAGAAATATATACTTAAATCTATTGATGGAATCAATTTCCAAACATGTTCTTCGTTGCATCAGTGATATGCTGCGGAGTCAACCCATCAATGATTTCAACACGATCAATGAAAAGCCTAGCAACATACTTCGGAGTACAGTGTCTCCGCTGAGCGATTCGGTCTCCCACTGAGCATGTGTGTGTTTCCACATACTTTTTTACCCAAAACTTGTTTGTCCCATGTTTCACACTCGCTCTGATCTTCCATCCACAACCACTAACCCGACATGTTGCCACAAGGAGAGTTTTTGTGGACTTGTATATTCTGAAGGAGAACTTAGACCTCACTGCTGTCAACCGCAGCTTAGAAAGCAGTGCATCCTTGCTAACAAAACTCTGGTTGATACATATACTATTACCATTCCATCTTCCTCCTTCAATAACATATGTCTTTTTGAAATCTTCAAAACACATATCATCATCTTCTTCCTCATCCTCATTTTTAACCTTTCTATAAACACTGTAATCCTCACCATTCTCGTCCGCTTTGGCAACAATAGATATATCATCATCCTCCTCCCCATCATCCGTCTCTCATCATCATTCTCCCCATCATCCTCCTCCCCATCATGATTTTCATCTTTAACCAAATCATCATCATCATTTTCGAAACATTCATCAGCTTTATCAGCTTCTTCCCTTTCCTCTGAAACCGTTTCCACCTTGCTACGGCTTGATACACAAAGCCGTACTCCATGCATTTTGGTTATCTCGAGTAATTTTTGAACTTGTCTATCACTTGTAACATGAATAAGAGGGATGTCTGGATCCATCAGTTGAATCATTTCTGCTGGTAGTGAGTAGGTTATCTCCACAGATTCGGTGCTCATGTCTAGGTTAAAATCTTCATGAGCCATTGAAACAAGTTCAGCATGTGTCGAACCTTCACTCAAAAGAAACATTCTCGCTCCTTTGAAATTATCAACCACAAAATCCCAACATCCATCTTTGAATAACCATTCTCCATACACTGCGTGTAACTGACGAATCATCTGCAAAAATTCAAAATAAAAACACATTAGTAAACATAAAGAAAATGAAAGTTTACTCAACATTGACGCATGCAACATACAAGTAAGTCGTCCGGACGACTTACCGTAAGTCTTCCAGACATGTCATTTTTGCAATTGAAATTTAAATGAGACAACTTACTTGTCGTCCAGCTTTGTATGTCAAAAAAAAATATAGACGACTTATAAGTAAGTCATCTAGGAAAAACGGGCTAGCTTTGCATTTGACTAAATTGTGTCAGATATTTGAGTTTTCCTAGACGAATTACTAGTAAGTCGTCTCCGTGAAAGTTAAAATTTCAATATTTTATTAAATCTAGACGACTTACGGATAAGTCGTCTAGATTTAATAAAATATTAAAATTTTAACTTTCTCAGAGACGACTTTCTGGTAAGTCGTCCAGGAAAATTCAAATATCTGACACAACTCGGTCAAATGCAAAACTAGCTCGTTTTTTCTAGGCGACTTACGTATAAGTCTTCTAGAGTTTTTTTTTAAACATACAAAGGTGGACGACTTAGAGTAAATCATCCGTTCGACCAGAAGACTTATCCGTAAGTCTTCTACATCCAGAAGACTTACGAGTAAGTCTTCTACGCGAACAGATCTTGAAAATTTTCAATTTCATACCTTAAACTAGGTGAGATCACACAGAGTCTTCTCCAACCACCCCGAACATCAAACGAAAGTAACCCACCAAGAATTGTATGCTTAAATGGTTGTATCAACCATAAAAAAAATTTGAATCAAAAGCTTGAGTTTTTTGTATGAATATGGAGACAAAGGGAAAGAGATGTTATTTTTACTTCATAACAATTGAGAAAGAGAGAGTGTAAATCGATATTAGGTGCATTAAGAGATTCAAATTGGTTGTTCATGGTAGTTAGGGTATTGATGGCAATGGTAATCTTGTAAATACTCGAGTAAAAAATAATTTTCGAAAAAAAAGAAAAAAATGTAATGGCATTTTCGTAAATAATGTGAACAGGTGGGGTGAATAAGACAAAAGAAAAGTCAAAAAAGAAAAGTTTAGTTTTGTGTTTGACTTTGAGTTATGAGTCAAATTTGCAAAAACCCCTATATATATAAGAAAATTTTATAAAATTTATAACTAAGAATTATATGATTCTAATTTAAAATAAAACGTTTATTCATTTTCTCAGAATTTTAAATGATTGCATATTATAATTATGAAAATACTGATAAATTAAAATTTATAAACAAATTTTACCAATTAGTTACTTTTTACATTTTATATATAACTGACACATGTCAAAAAAAAAAATAATAACTGACACACCATATTTGAATATATATATATATATATATATATGATATATGTATTTACATATATATATATTCTCACATATATACTATTATATACTAAAAAAACATAAAAACAATTTTATATTTATTTATTTGTATATGATATTGTGTTTTTAAAATTGGAAGCGTGATTCCAAAGTGGAATCGTAAATTTCCAACGTGTTTTTATATAGGATATTTTAGAAGTGTTTGGAATCGAGATTCCACAAGGTTTTGATTCCGATTCCGATTCTGAAGCGGGAAGCGCACGTACGTCCGTTCTATATTCCACAAGGTTCTGATTCCGATTCCGATTCCGAAGCGGGAAGCGCACGTACGTCCATTCTATGAATCTTCCGTGCAACATAGACACTAAGTTCCCGTGAGCAAATATCTTACAAAAAACTTTATAATTGCAACACATGCATGTATAGCTATTAGATTCACATTACTAGATTCAATCAATGACTGCACTTGGCTCATTTTATCTATATATTTTTCGTTGACACAAACTTTTTATCCTTCAATTTAACCTCAGACTTCTTGGAACTTTTCTAAGTAAGTTTGGCTTGGTCAAGCTTTTCCAGTAATTTTGTTATTAGTAACAAATGTCAACTGTTGCGTCCGTAATTATCTGTGTTTAATTATTTTAATATATCTTATTATCATTCTGATAAGTGATAAGAATCCAATATTTTATAATTCTTGACTAGTTCACACTTCTTCAGGATATAGACCAAACCAGTTAACCAGAGACACAAGTAATATTCCCACAATCGCAAGATACATATGTTTTATCCATATTAAAAGAGCCTTAATAAGTTTCAAATTGTCATTAGATCTTATCACAAAACCAGTAGCAAGCAACAATAAAAGAAAACGAAGCAAACTGCAAACATTATATTTGTCAAACCGATAACAAATGTCAACCAAACCATGAAATATCATACCACACTAAACCAAGTCTTATAACTGATATAATTAAACCAAATAAGCACAAGAGTAAAATCGAAAATACACTGAAAACCATGAAACTTTTCTCTCACAAATTCTGTTTAGGAAATTAGATTTTGTTCGTAGATTTTCGCCCAGGATCCAACGTCTGCATCGGTTATCCATAGCTCAACTCGATTTATCCGAAAATTCAGTCCATCTAAACTAGAATCAAGCGTGGAAGCTTTCTCTAAGGCTTTCTTCTTCTCTTCCTCCGTTAGATCGCCGTAAAGTATGCTCATATGTGGCTCATAAACTGCAACATCCTAACATGTCACACACACTGACACACATTTCTTGGTATTATATGATTTAGCGTTATTCTCAATATAACAACAGTTAAGTTACGTCCAATGGAAGATTAAATTCGATTGATTAGAGATTTGATCATACATTTTCCGGTGAAAGCTTTGAAGTGGCTCATAAAATGTCCGGCAGCATTCATTACCTGTAAACATAACACAAAAAATTGTTTGTGATAGATAGCTTTGTGTTTTTGAAATTTTTTTAGTTGGATAACTTTCTATAACTTAAGTTCATCTTGGCATCAAACAAATAATCCGGATTTCCATTTGATTGTTTTTTTTGGGTGAGTTTTCAGTCTTAATAGAAAAGTAGTAGATTGATTCTATTAAACAGTATTGGTGTGATGACGTTTCGATTTCGATTCAATTTTTTTTTTAATTGTTGCGTATTTTGTATAACACATAATTGTTGCCTTCTTAAAATAACAGAAAGCTTTTGTATAAGCATTAGCATTGTTTGGTAAAATTAAGGGAGCCTTACAAACATACAAAAGATTCCATCACCTTTTTACATAGATTCAGAAAGATCATTTTCAATAACGTATACATTTTCTGTAAATTATACATTCTGTAGAGTGTAAAAGGTTATCTAAGTTATCTAACTTTCATAAGATAATATAAATAACAGAATAGGAAAATACAAAACGGAGACTGTGACATTGTTGGGGTCAAAATCGGTACGACGGAATCAACGTCCAAAACTCCCCGCAGAAAATATAAAAGAAATCATTTTATAAAACTCGAAGAATCGTTTTATAAAACTCGAAGAATCGTTTTATAAAACTCGAGAATCGTTTTATAAAACTCGAAGAATCGTTTTATAAAACTCGAAGAACCGTTTTAAAAAAACCGAAAAAACCGAAACCGCCGTAAAACGCGAACTAGCTTCGTCCCGGCTAGTTCGCCCAACGGCGAACTAGGCCGTGACCGGCTAGTTCGCCATTCGGCGAACTAGAAGCTTCTCGGACGGTCCACCGGCCGGTCAGCCGGACCGGTCCGGCTCGGTTCACCGTACGTCGAATCGACCATCCCGAGCCTCGATCTCCCGTATCCCCGATTCAATGCTTACGACATCCGACGCGGTCGTGCTCCGGACCATGGTCAAAATGTCTCCCGTTTCGTCTCGATCCAACCTATCGCTCGAGTTTTACGATAAAAACCGTAAAACTTTGTTTTCTCGGAAAGAACTCAAGGAAATCGTATAAAACGGCAACGGTTAAACGAAATACCGAACATTGCCTAAACTATACGATTTGTTCGATATTTTTTGCTAAAGTCATAAAAAACGCGTTTTTTATAAAAACGTCGAGAAAATCGTAAAAAACAGCAACGGATAACCAAGGAACGAACGTAGCTAAAAATTACGATTAACTCGGAGAATTTACTAAAAACGGCATCGGATCAGGAAACGATCTCGTATAAAGTCGTAAAACGGATTTTATCGTAAAACTGTCTGAAAGGTCCTAAAACGCGATAAAAACCCATCTCGCGATATTAACGAAATCTAACCCGAAGATACGATAACGTTTTGATGATTTACTCGCAGAAGAAAGATAAATGTTAATTTTGAAGACAAAAGGCAAGTTTGAAGATAAATGAAAGATTTCCGCGGGAGAAAAGGAAGGATCAAGAGAAATGGAAGATTCACGATAAACTCGAATTCAGGCAAAATGGAAAGACTAAAACCGCCTAAGAGGGAGTATATAAGCAAGAGGCATAGGGCAGAAGCTGGGACACGATTTTTCAGAGCTTTCACCACCAAAATTAGCATTTAGGAATATTTCCGTTTTCTGTTAGCGAGCTGCGTCTCAACTAGGGTTTTCATTCTTAGACTTCTATAGTTTCGGCTACTCTCGTTGTAACAGTTCTTACGCAGATTCGGAATAAGAACCTTCTTGCTCTCAATCTCATTCATTCTCTGTTTAATTTTAAAGTTCATCGTTTTCTTAATTATCGTTGTGCGGTTCTGCAGATAGTCGGTTCCTCTGGAAACTTTGGGTTTACCCGAAGTTTCCTTATTTACGAATTATTGACAGTAGGTGGATTTCGGTTCCCACAGTTTGGCGCTAGAAGGAGGGGGAGGTCGGATCTATCTTACACCGAAGCCGCAACATGTCCAACGAAGAAACGATGAGTGGTGACAACCAAAATCGCAACGAACGCGACAACGTTGAAACACCACCACCACAAGATGCGTCTGCGGCCAACGCTACAAACGCTAACGCCGAGACCATCGAAAAGATGCTTTCCGAGTTTAACAAAAAATCGGAAGATCAGGAAAAGCTCATTGGTTCGCTCGCGAAACGGGTTGAAACCCTAACCGCGAAAACCCGAGCAATTCGCCCCCGCAAGAGCTCAACGATCCGTTCGCAAGAGCTCACTGATTCTTTTGAACTGGGGGGCTAACTGTTGGGGTCAAAATCGGTACGACGGAATCAACGGCCAAAACTCCCCGCAGAAAATATAAAAGAAATCGTTTTATAAAACTCGAAGAATCGTTTTATAAAACTCAAAGAATCGTTTTATAAAACTCGAAGAATCGTTTTATAAAACTTGAAGAATCATTTTATAAAACTCGAGAATCGTTTTATAAAACTTGGAGAATCGTTTTATAAAATTCGAAGGACCGTTTTACAAAAACCGCGAAAAACCGAAACCGCCGTAAAACGCGAACTAGCTTCGTCGCGCCTAGTTCGCCCAATGGCGAACTAACCTCTTCCCAGCTAGTTCGCCCAACGGTGAACTAAGCCATGACCGGCTTAGTTCGCTGTTGGGCAAATTAGCCCCGTCCCGGCTAGTACGCCGTTGGGCGAACTATCCACGTCCCGGTTAGTTCGCCCAACGGCGAACTAGCCTCGTCCCAACTAGTTCGCCGTTGGGCGAACTAGAAGCTTCCCGGACGGTCCACCGGCTGGTCAGCCGGACCGGTCCGGCTCGGTTCGCCGTACGTCGAATCGACCATCCCGACCCTCGATCTCCCGTATCCCTGATTCAATGCTTATGACATTCGACGCGGTCGTGCTCCGGACCATGGTCAAAATGTCTCGCGTTTCGTCTCGATCCAACCTATCGCTCGAGTTTTACGATAAAACCGTAAAACTTTGTTTTCTCGGAAAGAACTCGAGGAAATCGTATAAAATGGCAACGGTTAAACGAAATACCAAATATTTCCTAACTATACGATTTGTTCGATATTTTTCGCTAAAGTCATAAAAAACGCGTTTTTAATAAAAACGTCGAGAAAATTGTAAAAACCGGCAACGGATAACCAAGGAACGAACGTAGCTAAATTTTACGATTAACTCGGGGAATTTACTAAAAACGGCATCGGATCAGGAAACGATCTCGTATAAAGTCGTAAAACGTATTTTATCGTAAAACGGTCCGAAAGGTCCTAAAACGCGATAAAAATCCATCTCGCGATATTAACGAAATCTAACCCGAAGATATGATAACGTTTTGATGATTTAGTCGCAGAAGAAAGATAAATGTCAAGTTTGAAGACAAAAGGCAAGTTTGAAGATTAATGGAAGATTTCCGCGGGAGAAAAGGAAGGATCAAGAGAAATGGAAGATTCCCGATAAACTCGAATTGGGCAAAATGGAAAGACTAAAACCCCCTAAGAGGGAGTATATAAGCAAGAGGCATAGGGCAGAAGCTGGGACACGATTTTTCAGAGCTTTCACCACCAAAATTAGCATTTAGGAATATTTCCATTTTCTGTTAACGAGCTGTGTCTCAACTAGGGTTTTTATTCTTAGACTTCTAGAGTTTCGGCTACTCTCGTTGTAACAGTTCTTACGCAGATTCGGAATAAGAACCTTCTTGCTCTCAATCTCATTCATTCTCTGTTTAATTTTAAAGTTCATCGTTTTCTTAATTATCGTTGTGCGGTTCTACAGATAGCCCGTTCCTCTGGAAACTTAGGATTTACCCGAAGTTTCCTTATTTACGATTTATTAACAGTAGGTGGATTTCGGTTCCCACAGACATTCACATATATTTATTTGAAAACATTATTGTTATTTACACTAAATATAAATCATCACATAACTACACATTTACACAATACAACTATACATTTTAATATATAAACTGTATAGTTAACATTATGATATGTATCAAATAGCATGTGTTGTGTAGTTGACATCAAACATATATTTTTGTCGGAATAGTAGATCGAATGTTAGAATCCGCAATCCTATATTAAAAACCTTGTAAGTTCCACTAGAAAACCAATCAACTAATTTTAACTGATCCAAAACCAACTAAAATGTATCAGTTAAACTCAATCAGATGGTTTTCTAGTTAGAACAAGTCTGTATTTTAATAATGTGTTGCCAAATTCCGATATTTGGCTTATTGTTCTGGCAATTAAAAATATAAATACAGTGTTAACTGTGTTTCAAAAAAAAAATACAGTGTTAGCTATATACATATTAGTTTGTGGGCCATTCAGACTGATCTGCATGACTGATCAATTACAAAAAAAAACACTATAGATAGAAGCAAAATAATATTCCGAGCCACTTTACCTCTAAGGTGTGCCGGAGAGACACATAAACACACTGAAAGTAAGAAGTTCCTGCGGTGACTTGGTCAACGGTGGCCGGATACGACTTAAAACCTTCACACGCCGCCTCAAACATCCGTTTGGCCTCGCCGGCCGTAAGCTGCTGTGGTCCGACGAGGGTCAAATGAGGACCAAACGGTGGACCGCCGAACTCCGACCTTAGTCCCTCCATTAGCCTTCGAAGCCGATCTTCTACGTCTTCCTCTGGTACAGCCCACACAGCATACATCTCCCTCTTCTCCTCTTCATCCTCCTGCGTCTGCGGCGGTTGCAGTGGTGTTGAGTTTTTTTCCGTCATTGTCCTCTCTTTACCCACGACTAGCATAGTTGGGGATGTTACTCTATATAAGAGACTAGGATAAGATCCGCACCTTGCACGGTATGAATTTATTATTTTTATTATATTTTAGAAAATAAAACAATAATTCGATTTCATTTGGATTAGGGATGTTCAATCTGGATATCGAGTTTCTATTCGGTTCGATTTTTTGGTATTTCAGTTATTAAAATACAACTACTATTCTAAATCTATATTTACTTCAGTTTGATTTATTTATATACGATCGGTTCTCAATTTATTCAGTTTTATACCAAAAAAAATAATTATTTAGTTTGAGATCACATTATATATTATAAAAATTTGTAATATGATCATATTTAGAGTCATATTGTCAAAAAGTATTTATTAAAAAATATTATATATTTAAAATAAAAATAATAAAAAATAAAAAGGTTTCTATCATCTAATAAAGTGATCAAATCTAGAATTAATATCAAAGCTCTAAATTTTGAAAATAAAATTAAAAAAAACAAAACAGAAGCATGAAAGAAAGTTTTATATTCTTCCATATTTAGTGTTCATCAAATTAACATGTCTTCGATTGAACACAACTCTGTTTGTTTAAAGATTAAAAAAAAGTTGTAAAGAATTTCAACTAATTGTTGTCCATCAAATTTATAATCTTTATTTTAAATTAGTTAGTGTTAGAATAAAGCAAAAAGATTTAAAAAAAAAAGACTAAGAAAATAAGAAGTTTCTTTTGCAGTAAATTGTTAGTTAATTATTGTTCAAGTGATTCAAGTGATTTACAAATTATAATTATAGTTCAACTCATGTAACAAATAGATATTCATGTGTCGTTATAAATATATACATATTTACATGTTTCAGTTTAATCGGTTATAAATCAAACCATATCCAAATCCTACGGTTTTTATAAAATCACATCCATTTGGTTTGTATGGTATATAACAAAAATAACCATATTATCGATTGTTTAATATTTTTTAAAAATATAAAATTAAAAAGAACTAAGATATTAAAATCATTGATAACAAAAAAAATCAATGTGAAAAATTTATAAACTTAAAATTTATAAATGTTCTTGAAAATTCATTGAAATTTTTGAAATTAAAAGATTTATGTAATCTTATATGGTATATCGTTTAATCTATAAATATATTTGTTTTATTCTTGAATGATACTTTTTACTTATATGGTTTTAAAATCATGTGTATCTTTTTATAATAAAAATGTTAAACTATTGATATTTAATTTTTAACATAATAATTTTAATAGTTTTTAGTCATTTATTCTCGTTTTTAATTCAAAATATAACATATACGAAAAAAACTAAAGTTTAACTTTATAGCTAATCTGATTGTTTAATTTATTTTAATAATATCAGATTAAAGAAAAAATGATGGAGGAGATATAAACTGTTATCAGATATTTATTATTAGAATCATTAATTTTCATATATATATATATATATTAGTCATTTATGGAAATTCCGTAGGTTTTATTTAAGGAAAGAAAATAAAATAATAATTATATTTAACAGAGTAATCATAAATGCTTCTATCATAAATATCATATTATATCATATAGTTTGACTAACAAATGTATCCAGGGACATATAAAAATCAAATGTGAACCTACTTATTTTTCAATTGAATGTAATTGACTATCTAATTGAATGACACCTAAGTATGTGATCTTTTTTAATTATTACAAAATTAAAATTACAATTTTTCAAATATTTATCTTTTAATATATAGGGGATACCTGCTACTAGAGCAGGTGGACCGATAGTAAGTGTAGCAATAGAAAATCAAACCATATGAAAATCGACCCGAATGTTTTTTTTGAACCGATTGGCTATATTGTATTTGATTTAACTAATGCATCCCAGCTAAATTAAACAAAAAAAAAACACCTGAAATCTTATAAAGTTTTAGTTATATCTTATTATATTAAGTGTTACAAAAAAAATTCCTATTATATTATATAACATTAACGGACGATGATTTATTAGTTTATTTATGTGTTCAATTTATTTTAAACTTAAACCGAATCAAATGCAATCTGACAACAAACCGTACCAAAGTGAACCAACATCAAACCAAGGTACAAATGATTTTTTTTTGTTTTTAGTTTCTTCTTTTTTTTTGGTCAACTTATTGTTTTTTGTTTCTATAGTATCAAAAACTAATAAATTCAAATGGTAGATCCGGTTATCCATGTCTAACCACGATCACTAATCGTGGCCTTAACAGGTACATGTAGAGTTTTTTTTTTTTTTAATTGCCTTAACAGCTCCACCTGCCTTTTCAATTAATTGAACGAAGCTTTAGCCTTTTGACCCATATGTTACAGTCTTACAGAGTATTATCAAACACAGAAAATACTTTGTTTATACATAAGCTTGTGAATATGCAATCAGCACCTGACCGGCTGATCATTTGTAATTGTGGCTCTAATACCATATTACAATCAGAAAGATTTTTGGAGATAGATTATTATGAAAAGATAGTTTATAATTACTCTACGGCGGATACAATGGTGTTGGATATGAATTTAGCACATAATTTTGGTCTCCTAAAAGTCTATTAAAAATGAGTTTATTGTAATAAATCTATACAGTTCATCGGCAAGATCGAACTATTTTGCGTAAAGATTATCTCAAGCTCCAGTATCGAAGTACTCTATATCAAGAAGATGATGGCAAGGCATAGTAACCTTGTTACTCAACAATCAGAGATCTGTAATCCAAGGCACGACATGTGTAAGATACGTAAAGTAGCTGAATCGAGTTGAGCAGTATAAAAAACAAGTCAAGCTTGAAGATCACCACACAACACGTCCAAATCATTACGAGTTTATTAAAACATTAAAGATATACTCTTGAAATTTTATTATCTGTTTTGGTTTCATCTTTTGTATTCGTTTTATTCATTGTCATACATGTTTACTCTTTAACGCTAGCTCCTATTTAGAAATACTGAATACAGAACTACTCCCATATATTACTTCTAATTGGTAGACAACTTTAACCTCTGATGACTAACTTGACGTAGCCATAAACTTGGTTTCTTAACGAGAGCTACCGTTTCGCGTGGTCTTTAAAAACGAACCACTTTTGGTAATCTCTCGCAACGGTTTATGGGTATATCTAACCGTGTTATAGACCCATGCACCCGCAACCGCACCAAGAATTGGAGACGCTGTGTAGATCCAAATTCCTATGTAGCAGTTGTATACAATTGCAGGTCCCAAACTTCTTCCTGGATTCATCGAAGCTCCCGACACCGGTCTGATAAAACAAAATGAACAAAAAGTATATACAATCTTTAATGTTTTAGTCGATGAAGAAATTATATATATATGCACAACCAGGCCCGGGTTTGACCCAACACCTAAGATACATTGGTATGGGGTCCATAGTTTTCTACAGTTTTTAAAACCTAATTTTTTTGTTAGTAAAAAAAAATATAAAATGGATCTTAAAACATATTACAAAATAAACTATGAAATTTTGTTTCTTAATTACATAAAAACAAGTAGAAAATAACTTTTAATAGACATGTATTACTTTCGAATAAATTGTAATTTTAATAGTAAAATTTAATTTTTTATCTATTTTATTAATTATTTAGGGTCTACAAAATTTTATTTTGTATTAAATCCGAAATATCTCAGGACAGGTATTGTGCACAACGGTAACAATATAGAAAAATAAATTACCCGGCAATTATCGGGTTAATTAGCATCGTTGACCCTATAGCTAGTCCGGCAAGTTCTCCAATCTGATTGTAACAATCTGGTTCTTGTAGTGAAATTTTAAAATTTTAAAAAAAACACTTTAGAAGATTTAGAAATACTAACCGCTTTATTGTCGGTGGCGACACCGGAGATGACGAAAATTAGGTAGAAAGTGATGATAAACTCGATCACAAACGACTGAAAATCCGATTCGGACGACAATGTTCGGACGAACACGTCATGTTTCCCGCTGCAAACGTCATGATCAAGTCCGGACAACAGCCGCAAAGTCGCCGCCGTAACCGTCGATCCCTTCACTTGTGATATCACATAAGCTGGAACCTATAAAAAATAAAGAAATAAAAATAAATCTTACTCGTATATTTAATGTCGCAGTAAACGTGGCTGAGTTTTGGAAGATACCCTTGAGCTGAATATTTTGACGTTTATATACAACTGGAATTGAGTAAATGATTGAAGTTTGTATGGATAACTTGAATTTTCGAAAAATATTAAAAACAAAACTGTAATGTACAATAAAAACTGACTTCCCAAACTAAAATTTATTATGGGTTAAAAAACCCAATGTTATTTTATTACAGAAAAATCCAAAAATTAGTAGTTACGTGCAGTACACTCATGACAATACCTAATAGCATTTCCAAAAAGACACTATATTTTAGAGTTTGCAAAACTCTATTTTTGAAGTTTCAAGTTGTTCTTTTTCTAAAGCAAAACTTTAGGTCTAACTTTAAAACTATTTTTATTTTATTCTGTGGTCCTTATATTTGTCATAGTTAATATAAATTCATAACTTTTTTTATAAATAACTAGCACATATATGAAAAAATAACAATAATATTAATTAAAAAATATTTACTCTAAAATATAAAACTGTAAACAGAAATACACAACTAAATAATAAACTACAAACAAAATATCACATTATTTCATAAAATTATTTCCATAATGCTCTATTTCCAGTTACACAATACTTATTTGGACAATATTTCGGAAATTTTTAAGGTTTCAGAGCAAATTTACCATACTATTAATATTGTTGTAATATATAATTCATGTAATAACTATGCTTTTCATGTACACTTTTAAAAAGTTTTTCTAAAAGTTTCTTTTGTAATATTCGTGAAGTCTAATTTTAGTTTTAAAATAATATAAATCTAATTTAAAGTTTTATGTATAAAAATTAAATTTATAAAACAAATCTGAAATATTTATAAAATATAAAAAATTTAAATATTAAAATGTTAAACCAGAAAATACTGAAAATAATAAATATAATATATAATTAATTGTAAGGACCAAAATGTAAATAAAAAGATGAAACTTAAAATTTGAAGTTTCTTTTTGGAGAGCAAAAAACTCTATATTTGGTGTTATAGAGTTTCTTTTGGAGATGCTCTAAGCTAGACCTATCAAACACAGTTATAGTTTTTTCATCAAACTCGAAATGAAACATAAAACATAGCTTCATCATTCATAATAGGTTACAGATTAATGCGTGTATGTATTGACCTGTTTGAGAGGGAAACAGCCGCAAGAAGCGAATGCGATTGTGACGGTCAGATTGAAATGAGCACTGGAGATGTTACCCGAGAGAGTAAACAAGAACCATGACAGTGAGTCCCCACACTATGGCTATACCAGTGAGCGTTACGTCTCTGTCGTGTTGGGCGTTTACAGCCACCAATGCACAACCAGCGAATACCAAAAAGTAAGTTCCAAGAATCTCCGCCATCAAATACCTTAATTTAGTTGGAGAGATCGGGTGAGATAAGTATCATCATTGTAAAATTGAAACGGGGTAAAACAAAACAGAGTTACAGAAGTGAAAACCTTTTGTAAGAAAGGGACAGAGTATGAGAGGAGAGAAGCTTGTTTCTCAATGAATTTATGGTTATGGGTAGTTTCTTTTTGTTGTTCATGTTTGATTTCTTCATTGATGTTCACCACCACTGCTCCCTCTCTAGTACCCCCTATGATGTTTCCCGACTGAAAGATACTAAAAAATATTCTCTTTATTGTTTAGATAGATAAGTGTAGTTCAAGGGAAATCCTCGATTTATTGTAACTGATTCCTGTATATATTGGCATATCAATACAATGTAATCTTCAGGGGAAACTACTTCTACTTTCATGGTATCAGAGCTTTCATCCTGAACCATCTTAAAATATTCTTCTTCTTCTTCTATCACGTAATCACCACAATGGCCACTGCCCTCGCTGCCGTTGATAAAGCATATGGAATAGCAAACATCAAATCTCATATCCCAATAATCGTAGACACAGACGATCACAACTATGACGCATGGAGAGAACTCTTTCTCACACACTGTCAAAGTGTTGATGTTGATGGTCACTTGGACGGCACACTTCTTCTTGCGACTGATGCTGACACAGCGTGGACCAAGAAAGATGTCCTTGTCGAGTTATGGCTGTACGGAACCTTATCAAAAGATCTCTTCAAGCGCACCTTCAAAATGGGAGGCACGTCAAGAGAAATCTGGTTATGAATTGAGAATTACTTTCGTAACAACAAAGAAGCAAGGGCCATACAGATAGATCATGACTTGCGGACCAAGGAAATTGGCGATCTCACAATCCAAGCCTATTTTCAAGAGTTGAAGTCCATCGCCGATCTCCTTGCAAATGTTGACGCTCCAGTAACAGAACGAAATCTTGTGACCTACCTGTTGAATGTAAGCCTTAATGGTAAGTATGATAACATCATTAATGTGATCATCCACAGACAACCTTTCCCCACATTTGAGGAAGCTAGATCAATGTTGCTACTCGAGGAAGATCGCCTCAAAAAGGGAAAGAAGACAACAATTGCCCATACCGACACATCCTCTGCTGACAAAGTTCTAATGGCAGCTGCATCTACTGACCGCAAATGCACTCAACCGCAACCACAATAAAGAAACTTCTCCAGAAGAGGATGATGAAAACAGAACAGGGGTCGTGGCCGAGGCTACTACAACAACACACGCCCTCAGTAGCAATGGAACTCTCCGTTCTGGACTAATGGTTATCAAATGTGGCCTCAACACCAGTTCATGCCATGGTCTCACTTACAACAACAGTTCCCTCGGCAAGGCATCCTTGGGCCGCGTCCTCATATGATCACACATACGCCCCAACAACAAGTGATTCAGCAATCTGGAAACCAAAAGTTTGAGCCAACCGTGGACTTCACAACAGCCTTAAACACCATGAAACTTGTCGATCCTAGCGACAATCAATGGTACATGGATTCAGGGGCGATGGCTCACTTGACAAACTCGGCAGGTAATCTTAAGACCACTCTTAACTCTAGCACCGGAAAGACTGTCATTGTTGCTGATGGTTCTCATATTCCAATTACAACTTCGGGTTCTGTTTCTATACCCTCAAACTCTAATAATCTGTCTCTCAACTCTTATCTTTGTTACTCTCTCTATAATCAAAAACTTGATATCAGTTTAAAAATTTACCAAAGATAATGCTTGCTCTATTGAATTTGATCCATGTGGTTTCTCTGTGAAGGATCTCAAAACACGGAGGACGATACTCCGCAGTGACAGCACCAGTGATCTTTATCCGGTCTTCCCCTCATCAAATAAGGCTCTTCTCCAACCTTCAGTCTTTTATGCTGCCTCTTCTGACGTTTGGCACCGTCGTCTTGCTCACCCAAATAATCAAACTCTAAACTCTTTATTTTCTAATTCTGCTTTGCCTTGTAATAAGAAAACGTTATCTCACATTTGTGATGCGTGTCAATTAGGCAAGCAAATAAAACAGCCTTTCTCTCCATCAGAAACGACTGTCACTATTCATTTTGAAATCATCCATTTCGACTGTGGACCTCCCCGGTTGCAGTTTAAGCGGTATTAATTATTATGTGTTGTTTCTTGGTCAATATTCTCATTTTTATGGGTCTATCCAATTCGATCCAAAGATGAGGTCCTTACTAAATAAAAACACTTTGCCTACTATGTTAGACTCAATTCTCATCAAAAGTAAAGTCACTTCAATGTGATAATGGGTCCGAGTTTAACAACACACAATTTCATTCTTTTTTGACTGCACAATGAAATACCATTCACCAAACACTTCAAAAAGCCAACTACTTATACTCATCTAAGGGTATTCGGTTGTCTCTGTTACCCAAACCAAAATTATGCCCACACCAAAAAGCTCTCTACACGTTCATCTCGCTGCATTTTTCTTGGGTATCCTAACAACCATCGCAGCTATAGATGATTTGATCTCACCTCAAAAAAATCATCATTTCTCGTCACGTAACTTTTGAGGAGTCTTGTTTCCCTTACCACCAAGCCTCAGACAAGAAAACTCAAACCTATGATTTCCTTGATCAAGAAAAAGAGCATTCTCCTATTTTTCAAAAAATTCTTTGAAACCCTTCTTCGCTTCTTCATGTCCCAGCTGTGATTCCCACTGATACACAGCAGCCAACTCCAGTTGTTACAACTGAGGTTCCTAGGCATCAAATGGCAACAAGATCAAAACATAGCATCAAAAATCCTCGCCAGCTGCTTTCGCTTCACACTCAAACTTTCTCTCCATTACCAAAGAGCCATCTCAAAGCTCTCGAAGATCCCAATTGGAATCTGTCAATGCATGTTGAGTACGATGCGATTATTAATAGTGGTACTTTTGATCTTGTACCGCGACCTAAAGACACTAACATTGTGAGTTCCATGTGGCTTTAAAAGCATAAGTTTGATGCAGATGGAGATTTTAAGAACCACAAAAGCAGGTTAGTGGCGAATAGAAAGTCCCAAGAAGAAGGAGTGGATTTCTCTGAGACATTTTCACCAGTGGTTAAGCCAGTAACCATACGCTCTGTACTTCGTTGCTCTTGCGAATGACTGGCCGGTGCAACAGCTCGATGTACAAAACACTTTTCTCCATGGAAAGCTTGACGAGACAGTGTACATGTTCCAGCCCCCAGGCTTCGTCGACCAAACCAAACCAGACCACGTCTGCAGACTCAACAGATCCATCTATGGATTAAAAAAAGCCCCGCGGGCTTAGAATGCTCGGTTTGTTACTTTCATTACTAACCAAGGGTTTTGCCGAAGCAAAAGCGACCCTAGCTTGTTTGTGTTCAGGAAAGGTGCTGATCGTGCTTACCTATTATTGTACGTTGATGACATAATCGTGACGGCATGATATATGGTATTTTTGACATCTTGTATATATGTTTTATTAATTGTTTTCAAGTCTTTATCGAGTCTTCCTAGTATTTTTTGAGTCATTACAGGTCTGGAGTATGTAAGAAGACCTTTGGAGAGTCACATGAAGAAAATAATGAAAATTGAAAGTTTTATGTCGCATAGCACCCAAATGAAGCAACCCTCCGAAGATTATGGAAACTTCTGATTAATTTCTGGATTTGCCCTTGCTTTTCTATCTTCTTCTCTCAGCCGCATGTGGCCTCTAGACATATGCTTTTTCTATTAGTTTTATTTTCTTACGCTATTCTATAAACAAGAAACGATTGGAGATTTTGCACTTTTGTAAAGGGAGAATGATCTTCATCTCTCTTGTTTTAGAGAAGACCTCCTGAACCCTAAATCTCTTTTATTACAGTGTTATTTCATGTCTTCTTTTATTATGATCTCTGTGATTTCTTGTGCTATGGCTGAGTAGTCGAATTTGTTAGTCTAGGGTTTTAGGGTGTTGATTCATGAACTGAACATAAATAGGCTTCATCTTTTTGCCTTCGTTTATAATTTCTCTTAATTGCTAATACTAATCTAATCACTTAGTGTTTGTTAACCTTTTATCATTAACCATGAATTAGGTTGCTAGATATTTTATACACGAGCATCATATCCCTGACCAGTGAGAGTAGATATCATGGTATTTTGTGAACGTATTAGGTATGTGCTTATTGTTTGCTGTCGAGCCTTGATCCAAGTGAGAGCATAGGTGTCAAGGTCGCTCCACAAAAGGAGCATACCCGCGAGAGCAGGGTGTTCTAGTTAAGAAATCTGAGTTCTAGGCTGTTCTTAAATAGCTTGAATAATTTTTTGGTTCAGTATGATTAACACCCAATGAAGCACCCTAGGCTAGCATTCTTCATCATCTGAAAACCCCAATCAAATCTGTTACTTGCTTGTTTTATTTTCTTACTTTAAAAACCATTCATTATCTTAGCTTAATATTGATCGCATAGAAATAAAGTGTAAGATTTGGTCTATGTGGATTTGATCCTCAAGTACTACATCGAACCTCTTATTTGAGAGAGTAGCTTGAATGTTAATTTGAGAATATTAAATTTGGCGTCGTTGCCGGGGACCATCTTTTTACCTTTATTTTCGGTTATTTATTTAGTCTAAGACCTTTAACTTGTTCTTTTCTCTTTGTTGCAGGTACACTCAGCAACCAAGAGATTGCAAGGTTAGAAATAGAGAACATACAATAGCCAAGACCAACCAACACCACCATGGGTGATCACGGCCATCAGGATGATCTCGCTGCAGAAATGCAACTGATCCAAATGCTCCAGATGCAGCATACCATCCAACAACAAGCTGCTCTCGCGCAGCAGGAACATCAGGCGCATGCTGCTCCAATCGGTGAGAGAAACCTACCACGTAACATTCCTGTTACGAACTCTGCCATTGTTCCTCCGCCTTGCACCAAACATGACTTCGAGATCAAGCCTGCTTTGATCGCTTTAGTGCAGAGCAAGGTGTTCAGTGGTCTCTCAGCAGATATCCCAATGGAGCATATTGAGAGCTTCGAAAAAGTCTGCAGTTTCACTCGTGCGAATGGCGTGCCACCTGACTACATCAAGTACATGCCATTCCCATTCTCTCTTGATGGAAAGGCTGCATGGTGGTTCAACTCTCTCCCTACCGGTTCTCTCCCTTCATGGGAGCAGGTCCGTCAGTGTTCCTTGGCCTTTTTTATAATAAGGCAAGAACTGCAGCATTGAGAAACAAGATCACCTCATTCAGACTGCTCACTGACGAGCCTTTTTGCAAAGCATGGGAACGTTTCAATGACTATCGCAGAGAATGCCCTCACCATGGATTTGATGATTATTACCTCTTATGCATTTTCTATGATGGAGTAGACTGGAAATTTCATACTGCTCTGAACTCTGCGAGCAGGGGATATTTCATGACACAGACCCCTGATGGTGCATTCGAGCTGATAGAGAACATGGCTGCTAGTTCTGCAAACAAGAACCCAGAAACAGATCGCTCCAAGAAGGTGAACAGTGTCGACACCCACAAGGTAGACGAGTTGACAGCCAAGGTTAATCAGCTGATGAAGAACAACCAAGGACAAGTCTATTTTATAGGAGAGACAACTCCTGATCAGGCCACACAGAACAATTACCAAGAGAGCAACCAGTAGAAACCGCAGAGCAGCCTCATGCTGCTCCAACTACTACCAGTGGTCCACAAGATGAGTTGAAAGGTTTGGGTATGATGATGCAACAACTGTTGCAGGGTCAGCAAATTTAAGGTAAGGCATTGAATCAGGTTACCGCAGAGATCAACACTAGAATGGACAACATGTTCGCTGAGCTGAATTCAAAATATGATATTGTTAGCAACCACATAAAGAGGATTGATGTTCAGCTTGCTCAAACTGCTGAAATTGTTAAGAAGCAGCAAGAAACCCTTCGTGGAAAGAGTGTGATGAATCCTAGGGTTGACAATTGTATTGCAACAGAGCTGAGAATTGAGAAAGCTGAGGAAAGAGCAATGGAGCAGCAGTCTGCTGAGACTGCTCTAGACGAAGAAAGCCGAACAGAGCAACCTACTAGCACTATAGAGACTGCTCCCGATGAATCTGCTGAGACTCCACCAGCTCGAGTCTATGTTCCTAAGCTTCCCTACCAAATTCCACCTTGACATCTGATGAATCCCATTAATGAAGAGCAGCTGGCAGGTTTTAACAAGATGGTGACAAGGCTTCCTAAAGAACTTGCATTCGAAGATGCTCTGCAGATTCGCCCAGTGCTCAAGTTCTTTAAAAACTGTAGAGAGACACAAGAGGAGATCAAAGCCATCTATACCAAAGCACTGTTTACACTAGCACTAAAGGTATTGCCTAAGGTTGATAATCCTGGAAACTTTTTTTCCCATGTTCTTTCTGACTCTGTTTCGTGTGTGAATCTCGTCTCAAAGGCTATTGTAGACGAATTTGGTATTGCTAATGTTGAGCATTCTCAGCTGGCCCTGACCTTTGCAAACTATTCCAGAGCAATCCCATATGGAACCATCCGCAGCCTTCATGTTCAAGTAGGCGAATGCATTATTCCTGCTGAGTTTCAAGTTGTTGAGATGAACAAGGATCATGAGATGCCTTTGATATTTGGAAGGACATTCATGGCTACTGTTGGAGCAACCATCGATATGACCAACAAGAGAGTCTGCTTCTCCAACATCAACACGAAAGTTTTCTACAAGGTTGTACCCACCAGATCTTCCTCATCACACGCCTCTTGCATCTTAGTGTTTGATGTAGAAAAGCTGAAGGTTGTTCCAGAGAAAGAGCATGGTGATAAGGGTGAGAGCAGGCTTTTCTCTGATGAAAATCCTAGCACTGATCCTACTAAATTCAGAGGAAATTCAAGGGTGAAACAGAAAGTCCAGAAGAAAAGGGTCAAGGGAGATCCTACAATGACTTTCATACCTCTCAAGTGTGATGAGAACTCCATTGAGTATGAGGTAAAGTGCAAGGGTACCTCCAAATCGTTCTCTAAAGTCAGAGCCATTCTCACACATGAGCTGAAGGAGAAAGGGGAAGCTTCTGTGAAAGGGTTGTTGAGCAGGGTTTTGAAGCTGAACATGTCTGATTGTGGAGCTTTTTTTGGAACAGACCCTCCTGCTTAACCAGACAGATCCCTATCACCAATTCAAGCTAGTGACTTATACCAAGCGCTTGGTGGGAGGCAACCCACTGGTGAGTATCATTAACATTAAGATTTTATTTTTACTTATTTTTGGTTTTAGTTTGTTGAGTCTCAAGTCATAAATCAGAAAATATGAGATCCTTGACGGGAGCACGCAGGTGGCTTCTCTCATTTCGGAGCAACCTTTACCGGAGCAACTGCGTCTTGCTCTGCCAGGCTGCTCCACGCCAGGTAAGTATCTCGAACAAAATAATTTGTATTTCTGTTTAAACCTTCTCTCTGATTTATTTTCACACCGAGACGTTGTGAAGTAAGTCTGGCGGAGGGTCTTTGTCGTTTAGCTAACGCATCTGTTTCTTTTGGCTTTTATGTTCGAGTCAGTTTTGAGTCAGTTTGAGTCTTTTTATTGAGTCAAAACTTGTGGAGATTAGGACCTTATTTTGATAATCATTAACCACATCGTGTTTTAGTTATCTTATTCAATGACCTTAGCAGTGACGAAAGATGGCACACTTGGATCTGGAACACCCTTACTTTTTCTCACATTGCTCTCCATAAGATTTTGGCTTGTATAGGTTACTCTCGAAAGACTATAACTCCATTTAACTTGAACCTAATCTTGACTGATATTCTTCTTGTTATGGGCATTAGATTAGGGAAACGAGATTACACTCAGGACTTCTTAATTCTTTATATCCATCTTACTGATCATGAGTGGCTAGCTCATTCTTAGCTAGTTTCCACCCTGAACCTTTAGACCATTGTTCCACCCTCATGCATTATGTTCTTAAGTTTCATATGTATAGATATGTGCAAAAGGGACAGAGAGGAAAGGATAAACACAACTCTCACTCATTTTGCTCACAGACTACATTCCAGAGCATAGACACACATGATCCGTAAGGAAGAGAGCAGTAAGTAGGGTGATCCGAGCAGAAAAGACAAAATGGTGAAAGAAGTGCTAAAGTCAGAACCAGTAGAGGCACACTATATGTAATTACCTCCTTCTCGTCATCATCATCATCATCTGAACTCATCATTTATTCAGTAAAAAAAACATCAGTATTATTTAAGTCCCAAGGGTTTTGAAAGATGATGAGAAGGAGAAGAACAAAAAGGAAAACAGCGCCCTGGCCAATCGGTGAATAAAAAGCTGATGTAGAAGTGGAACAGTGTGAAGAAGGGTGGTCTGGAAAAAAAAGAGAGCAACCTGTCAAAGGAAAGAGGAACTAAAAGCGACTGCTCTGCAGAGAAAAACGAGTGGGGGTCTGTGGAGATCAATGGATCCATCCTCTCTTGCAATTTTGCACGATATCCTACATGCTCTACAAAGTCATGGTAAACCCTAAACACTTTTTAGCTCCACTTTAAACACTGAAAAAGCCTGTCTCACACCTGACCCGTCTACCCTGAATAATGCCTATGACAAGAAGTTGACCTGACCTTAAACGAATGTAAGGTGTTTTTGTCTAGAAGGTTTGACTTTTCCAGGTTTGAGATATAGAGTATGGAGCCGAAGTGAACATCAAACAGTGGGGTTCTGGTAAGGGTGTGTCGTCCTAGTATGTCTGCTTGTATGGTTCAAAGATTCGTGGTTAAAGTATAGTTGCTGAGCCATAAGAGAGTTCCCACACTTTCAAACCTTTCTCCATGTTCTTGATACTTGACATTGTTTGAGGACAAACAAGGATCTAAGTCTGGGAGAATTGATATACGGTGTTTTTGACATCTTGTATATATGTTTTATTAATGGTTTTCAAGTCTTTATCGAGTCTTTCTAGTCTTTTGAGTCATTAGAGGTCTGGAGTAGGTAAGGAGACCTTTGGGGAGACACATGAAGAAAAGAATGAAAATTGGAAGTTTTCTGGCGCAGAGCACCCAAACAGAGCAACCCCTGCCTACTCCCGAAAATTATATGGAAACTTCTGGTTAATTTTGGGATTTGCCCTTGTTTTTCTATCTTCTTTTCCCAGCCGCTTGTGGCCTCTAGACATATGCTTTTTACTATTCTCTTTATTTTTTCACGCTATTCTACAGACAAGAAACGATTAGAGATTTTCCACTTTTGTAAAGGGAGAAGGATCTGCATCTCTCTCGTTTTAGAGAAGACCTCATGAACCCTAACTCTCTTTTATTGCATTGTTATTTCATGTATTCTTCTATTATGATCTCTGTGTTTTCTTGTGCTATGGCTGAGTAGTCAGATTTGTTAGTCTAGGGTTCTAGGGTGTTGATTCATGAACTGAACATAGATAAGCTTCATCTTTTTTTCTTCGTTTGTAACTGCTCTTAATGCTAATACTAATCTAGTCACATAGTGTTTGAATCTGGGTCAACCTTTTAGCATTAACCATGAATTAGGTTGCTAGATCTGTTATAAACGAGCATCATATCCCTGATCAGCGAGAATATATATCAGGGTATTTTGTGAACGTATTAGATCTACGCTTATTGTTTGCTGTCGAGCCTTGATCCAAGCGAGAGCATAGGTGTCAAGGTCGCTCCGCAAAGGGAGCATACCTGCGAGAGTAGGGTGTTTTAGTTAAGAAATATGAGTTCTAGGCTGTTCTTAAAGAGCTTGAATCATTGTTTGGTTCAGTATGATTAACACCCAATGAAACATCCTAGGCTAGCATTCTTCATCATCTGAAAACACCAATCAAATCTGTTACTTTCTTGTTTTATTTTCTTACTTTAAAAACCATTCATTGTCTTAGCTTAATATTGATCCCATAGAAATAAAGTGTAAGATTTGGTCTCTATGGATTTGATTCTCAAGTACTACATCGAACCTCTTATTTGAGAAAGTAGCTTGAAGGTTAATATGAGCATATCACGACGTCTTCAACAAAGTTACGATCCAACATTTTCACCAAACTGAAAAGCATAATTTCCTATGACTAATGCTGGAACAATCAACTCATTCCAAGGAATCTCAGCCAAGTTCAACGACATAGGCTTATTTCTTAATCAAACAAGATATGCAGAGGAGAATATTGAATGTGCAAATATGAAGGACTGCAAACCCTGCGCAACACCTGTTGACATGAAACAAAAGCTATCAGATAAGGAAGGCACACTAGTGAAAGATCCTACCGAATATCGTAGCTTAGCAGGAGCTCTCCAATACTTAACCTTCACCAGGCCCGATATTTCATATGCGGTTCAACAAATTTGTTTGTTCATGCACGATCCGTGAGAAGCTCATATGACAGCTTTAAGACGAATCGTAAGATATCTCCAAGGAACAAAGACACAAGGACTACAACTCCTAAAGCATCAGAAAATGAAGATGACTTCATACTTCGATGCTGACTGGGGTGGCTGTACCACCACACATCGATCAACATCAGGCTTCTGCATTTACTTGGGTGACAATCTTGTATCCTGGTCAGCCAAGCGCCAACCCACTGTCTCGCGATCAAGTACAGAAGCGGAGTATAAAGGTGTTGCCAATGCTGTAGCCGAAACGTGTTGGATACGAAATCTTCTCCTCGAAATGGATTATCCTCCACAAAGAGCTACAGTTCTGTATTGTGACAACATCAGTGCAGTCTACCTCTCCTCAAATCCGGTTCAACACCAGCGAACAAAACACATAGAGATCGACATCCACTTTGTTCGAGAGAAGGTTAAGATGGGTCAAGTTCGGGTGTTATATGTGCCTTCAGAGTTACAATATCCTGATATATTTACGAAAGGACTACTGTCTTCTTTGTTCAACTCCTTTCGATCCAGTTTAGGCGTCCAAGAACCAGACGCTACAATTGTGGGAGGATGAAAGATAATAAAGAATATTCTCTTTATTGTTTAGATAGATAAGTGTTATTCAAGGGAAATCTCCGATTTATTGTAACTGATTCATGTATATATTGGCATATCAATACAGTGTAATCTTCAGGAGAAACTAATTCTACTTTCACCGACATATCCGCCATAACTGAATGCTCTCTTTTCAGAAATAACAAAGATAAAAGATCAAACCTAAAACGACTGTTATGGCGATTATCTCCAATTTATTATCCTAAAAAGAGAAAGATTGGACTTTTCAGCAGTTTATTAATTGGTTACTCTATATACATTCATGAATCTGTTAGCTAGTATATATAGTGTGAATTTTCCAAGTTTAATATTATAAAACATTTGCTAGTATATATAGTGTAAATTATGTCTAACTCTAATATTTGTAAAATATTTGCTATTATATTTTTAAAACCTATTTTTTAATATTCCGTAAATTCTTAGTATACATTTGATGTACAACAATCTACAATCTAGTCATATCAATCTAATATAAGACATTTCGTGAAAATTTGATTTGTTTGTTATGCATTTCAATACAATAGAAACACAAATACCAGTAAATCTATAGATTAAAACAAATAGTAATATAATATTCCAAATTTGTTAAAAACAGGAAAAATCATAAATATTAAACTTAAAAATTAAAAAAGGCATTATTCCTAATTATATAATATTTATTTTACATATGCACATATATACATTGTTTTGAAATTATATAACTCGTCTTTAATAATTAAAAAAGTCAAGCTAATTGTTCACATAAATTTAAGTGTAATTCTTCTAGATATCACAAATTTTGACTGCAAAGTAGAACAAGGGAGATATAAAAAGAAATAATTAAAACATAAAAGACTAACCTACCATTAACAAATAATATATTTAATATAAATGAATATTATAAATATAATAATTACTCCCTCCGTTTCGAATTAATTTTCATTCTAGGGAAAAAAATTCGTTTCAAAATAAGTGTCGTTTTAGAGTTTCGAGATAAAATTTATTAGTTTTATATAATATTATATTTTTCTATTGGTTGAAGAGTGGTTAGGTGTATAGTTAATTGTGTTTTTTTTTTTGAAAATATGTAAAATTAAATGTTTCCTTAATCTGTGTGCAAAAAAGTAGAATGACAATTAAAATGAAACAAATGGAGTATTAATTACTTTAAATTTTAAATTCTGAACCTTAAATCTTAACTCATAACTGCTAAACTCAGACACCTAAAATCTACACCTTTCTCATAAATTTTAAACAAGAAGTTATGTATTTTATACCTTTTAATAAATGTTTTTTGTGATTTCTTTCTGATATGTGCGATTTTTAATAACAAAACTTCTTTTATTTAAAGCTTTTAATTTGCGCCATGGTTTAAATTAACAGTTCAATGTTGTTAAAAAGTAATGACATATTGAAGGGATTGAATGCACAATGTCGTCTAGAATACATAGTAATTAAAATTGCACAAACAATTTCTTGTGGAAAGTCGCAGAAAATTTAATACAAACATCACCATCTTTTTTTTTTTTGAACAAATCCTTTCTGGTTAAAAAAAAACATCACCATCTGATGTTATCGGTCGAGTAGATAACTAGTACTACTACTAATATTTTCATTGACATGATGCACAAGTTTCTTTAAAATCAAGACTTTGACTAATACGTCCATCGAGTTTCAATACTGATGAATTAGTGATTAACCTTAATGACATTTTGCACTTTAAAAGTGACTTGGGTAGTGTGATTCCAGTATTTTTCCAGTGCGCATGCATAATCTCTGAGGGCATCCGCATTGAGCTCAATAATGATCGCCTAACTTCCCACTAATTACATTTACCTTCAACAGAGATCCCATTCCCACGTGACTTTACAATTTCTCTTAGAAATTTCTTCTGCATCTATTTGAAAATCGATTGTTATTGATTAGTAACTCATCAAAGAAATATATAAAAACAAAGTCTATTTACATATGCTATCGATTTTGTATATATTTGAAAATATTTTATACTTCTTCACATATATTTGGCAAAAAAAAACCATTCTCTACAAAAAAAATCCTAGAAATAGTTCAGACGAATTTAAATAAATATCACTCTCTTTACTTTTTAAAAAGCATCATTTTAATATTTTTTTGTTATCTAAAATGTGTTGTTTTTATAGTTCCAATGCAATTAATATTCGTTCCAGCTGAATATTAATTGTAAAGTGCATTAATCTCACAAATAAATATATTTATCTAAAATATTATTAGTTGAAATAGATGTAACTAATGAAAACATAAATACATTTCAATCATTTTTAATACATGTGAAATGTGTCTAAATGATATTTTTAATAAAATATTTTATAAAACAGAGGGAGTATTTTATTAAAGTTTTTGAAAATTTATCAATATTTTAAGGACCAATTCCAAAAACAAATTTCTACGAAACTGTTTTCTCAAATATTTATTGGGTAAAATTCTTACAAAAAAACCGACAACTTTTAGCAGAAAACAGTTATCAAAAATCTGTCAAAAATTCTTATCCCCGACAAAAAAAAATTCTGAGGAAATAGATCAATGATATGTTTTCGTTTGAAACAGCAGTTTTCTTTTAGTGACTACGTCTACAATATACTCCCTCCGTTTTATATTAAGTGTCGTTGTAGAGAATTTTTTGCGTTTCAAAATAAGTGTCGTTTTCGGTTTTCAATGCAAAATTTATTAATTTTATTATGTAATTTGTTTTTCTATTAGTTAAAATATAATTAGTTGTATGGGTAACTGTGTTTTTATATAGGAAATATGTAAAATTAATTATTTTCTTAATCCGTGTATACAGCTATAGAGTGACAATTATAATGAAAAAGAGGGAGTAGTATTGTTTTGAATGAGGTGAGAAAAATTCATCGTTGCAAAAGGAAAACAAAACATAATGTTCGAAAGATATGAAACTGAAACATGAAAAATAACTAGATAAGTGAGAAGCTCACAATAAAAAATCCAGAGCAGAGGTACTGTGTATATTAATTTGACTAACAACAAAAATGACTAACTTCAAAGTTCCAATGCTACAGATATGTTAAAAACTTAAAAGTTACTAACAATGCCAAATAGAGATTTTTATGATCTTGGTCAAGATTTCATAAGTTTCGTGGATATTATCATGAGATTTGAATTGGTTGGAGACTTGGAGGGGCATTATCATAAGATTTGAGTTAAAAGGAGGAGCTTTATCATACACTATGAGTTGGATACTTTGAAAAAACTTACCTGAGGCATTTTTTTACATCACTTGATTACTGCATAGAAATTGGGTTACGAAGTGGTTAAACATCACGTAAAACCATTTCATAACCCAATTATGTGTCATATGAATTCATTAGTGATTACTAACCTACACATACATATGGTCCTACATCTTAGTTTTATAGAAGATAAAGCTATTTTTAATTTATTTTCCACTACCCTAAACAAATTATATTTATTAAATTTATAGTCTCACTTTGTCAAAAACACCCAACAGTTGGAAATGCTAGATCATTTTGGATCGCATGAATTTAATAAATACACAAATGTCAACATGTGATGATATAACTTGAAGCAAAATGGTCTGCCAAACATATAAGTTCACACACCCTAACATGATTAACCGCAATCATCATACACTATTAAAAGCTTTTATTCTAGAGCAATGAGAGTGTCCACATATGAAAAAATAATCAGCCTATAGAAACACTGTATTCAGCCACGTCAGTATATCTTTGGGTAAAATTGAACTTATTTTTTGGTTAACCAAATAGTTTACTGAAGCGGATCCGTACATCTCGCGGAAGCAGGGAGGTGACGGAACGAGATCACCGACGATCTAGATGACGTGGAAGACAACGAAGAAGACGAATCATGGAAAACGTGGGGGGACAAAGCAGCGACGCCGGAGTTCGATCCTCCTCCTGATTTCTCCAACATGTGATTCGATCACATCCAAGAGGAGATGGCTAAATGGACTTTCGCACCGGTCGTCGGTTTCGTCAAGCTCCGGTTAGGCATTTAACAAACTAAGGTAAACGAAACTAGGAATCGGTTTAGGTGTGCGGTTAAAAATCGTCACTTTGGTTTGTTGCAGAAACAGCTACATCTATCGCCGGAAAGTCTCCCGTCACTGTTTCTTTCTCCAATTGAAAATAACAGACTCAGAGAGTGGACGATTAGGACCATCTTCGAGAAGGAGGAGATGAAGAATCTATTCCTCCGTGATGATGACAGTATGAGAAGCAATGTTAACGGCGACAAAAAAAACAATTGATGCAACTTCTCTTGGTAGGGTGTTTACTGTTTCATTTGATCAAATTTCAATTAAGTTTCAAGCTTTATGCTAGATTGTGGCTTGGTTTATTAAGTTTTCTGATTTTGCATTGCCCATTTTAATTTAATCGTCAGAGTTTACAAGTTGTCGACCATTTTTCGTCTCTCAGTTTTTAAGATCGTAGTATATGCAGATGGATATGGACCTTCATCTAGACGTTTCCAACCAAACACTCGAGCAACGTTGAGTGATGAAGACATTTCTCAAACCTTACAGTTTACCGTTTCAATTAATCCTTGGTAATATGCATATACCTCTTTTTTTAGATATATTCCTCACCACTTTGTGTGTCTTCTCTATAGTTAAGCTTCAAGGAGAGTTGTGCATAATCATCTTGAAGAATTCATGAGAGAGTGAGGTAAGTTGATTAGACAAGTTCTTTTCAAAAAATTCATTCAGTTTGTGAGAAGGTTTATAGATTGAGAAGAGATAAGATCATGGAATGGTTCTTATGATTTGTACAAGTTGCAATATTTTGTGTTCTAATTTTTTTTGCCATTTTTCGTTTACTGATACCACTTATCTTTGTGCTCTTTAGTTTGGTATTAACTCAGTTACGATTCCTCTGCATTTGGCCTGAGGTTTTCTTTCTCCAGCTCCTAACAGTCTTTTCCATTTTTTTCTTCATCTTTAAGGGAGGAACAAAGGGCTACCTTCTACTATCGTGAAACTAAGGGAGAAATGTGTGTTTGCAATTAAATAATTGATGTCTATCGTCTATATACAATGGTACGCACAGAAATACAGAATGACGAGGCATCAACTGGAGACTTTAGAGGCTACCAGTATATACTTTCACATAATACTTTTGTGTTTTTTTCTGAGATATAAACAACACATATCTGTAGAGAGCTACTTACTCTTTAGAAAGGCTAAAGTCTTGAAGGCACACATGTTACAAAGAGACCAATTTATACTTCTTTGTTTCATCCACATGAGAACCTTAAGTGAAGAAGATGACATATATCAAAGATATCAAGTCTCTTGACATTAAAGGTCAAGACATTTCTTTGTTCTGACTATATAACAAACATGGAATCATTCTTTCGTATTTTTCAGAATTTGATTGTTATAGTATTACTTATGTTTAATTTTGTCACTCTTTCTTTACCAGAAGCGTTGAGATCACATAAGATGCAATGTTACATATGGCACCTCATAAACGTTACTCCGAGCAGATCGAGGTAATGATTTCACCTGCATAGCTGCTAAAACTAACATTTGTCTGCTTTCCAACCAAAAAGAGTATTAATCCTATTATATCTGATGTTATGTAACTTTTCATAGGAAATAGTGTTTTCCTAAACCCTCAGTCTTTTGTTATTGATAGCATTTTAGGACCGTATAAGAACATTGTCCTCTAGCTGTGGTGATTCTGAATCTGAATCATGCCTTTATGAAGATCCTCTTTCTGGTGTGTTTGGTTTTTATGTTCTTGATGATGGAGGAGCAACGACCAGACTTCAAGTCGGAAAAGAATACCCTAGACAAAGCTATAACGACAAAAAATGATTTAGATCTGTGAGAAACGAATGGTACGTAATGATTCTGAAAAGATGAAGAACTGACCTCTATATATACACCTTCGCCACCGACTCTAAGCTGATAAGAAGGGATTGATGACAGATCGTGGGAGAGTGTTAAATTCTCTCATCAATGAGTATCGAAAACCATATCAACCGGTGAAGAGGAAAGCGAGTCGACATGAAGAGATGAGTTGAGAGGAGAAACAATGGCGACTGCTACTGCTGGAAGAACCACATGAACCCTAATTAGACTGGTAAGAGAACGACTGGAGAGAAGACATACGGGTGACGGGCTATGGGTTTACAAAAATTCAGGCCCAAAGAATTAAAAGCAAGGCCCATCTCGACACAGACACGTGGCAGAACGCTGGAAATGTATTATCCTACGTGACTGAGAAAGAGGGAGACAAAGTCTCCTTTAATTAAATAGATTAATATCAAACAGGTTCCCATAATCCCAATATGAAAAATGATTAGATGCAAATCATTTTGGAACTACAAGCAGTGCCGGTTCGAAGTTAAATGGCGCCTAAAGCACACCTAAAATTTGATGCCCCTAATTATAAATTTTGATATATAAAGATTATTGCCGCTGCCACACGGGATTAAGAAATGTTCCAGACTTAAAGAGAAAACAATCTTAAGATGATGAAGAAGAAGTATAAGAAAGTCAATACTCTTATTCTTCGCCATACTTGAAACGAGTGAATTCACTCACAAAGGTTTGCGAGACATAATTAATATGATAAGTATTTATAGAAGCCTAATATTTTCAGATTTTTTATAAAAAAAAGTTGTCATCTTAGTGACATTGTTGCGCTGGTGGATTTTGATGAGAGCATTTATATGTGATCAAAATAAATTCAAAAATTTCTAATATATTTCTATCTACAATCAATCTACATATGTATAATATATACATATTATTCAAATACAAATGATAATTTTATATAACTGTGCTTATACATTATTCAAATGCAAATGATAAATTAATATAATTGTATTTATATATATAGAAAAAATCCAGGCGTAGCCCAGAATAGCCTCTAGTAGGATATAAAAAGAACCTAAAGAAGAAAAACAGAAAATAAACTGCAAAAATATATAAGCTCACACACACACGCTTACAAGATTGACATAGGAGACAAAACAAACCCTTTTTTTTTCAACAACAAAAACAAACCTAAAGAAAGAAAAACAGAAAAGAGACTGCAAAAACTTTTGGCATGTGATCGAACCGAACGACCATCACAGCTTCAAGGAAACAAGTGATCCTTGTGGGGGTTTTCAAGATTGTTTGCTTCCATATTTGCGAGAGACATTGGCGTCCAACAGTGTGTCCCAAACCTGCAACACACAGGCATAACTTATCTATCTTCACTAATTAAAAAAAAGTAAGTTGTATTAATCTTTACTCACATGTAGTTCTCCCTTTGAGCCACCAATAGCAAGCAAGAAAGGGTTGTCCACTGAGAAGGAAATGGAGAACACAGCTCCCTGATGACAACATCAGAATAGTTATGAATAAAGATGCACAAAACTAATGAGGGAGTAAAACAGATTTAATGTTAGATTGGTTCTTACAGCTTTTGGTTTGTGTGAAGCAATGCATGAGGGCTCATTGTTCGAAAGGTCCCAAAGTTTTACCGTTTTATCCATCGAACCCGTCGCCAAAAGCTGTTAATCACAGATCATAAATGGTGAGAACTCATTACAAAACAAAAACAAAAAAAAATGATAAGGACAGTAACAGAGATAGGAGTACATTGGGTGCAGAAATGTTGTATGAGATCGAGGAGACTCCTTTGTCTTGGTCATGTGCTTGGATAGTGAAACTTGGCTTTAAATCAGAATCTGAACCTGATTGTGCTGCGCGTATATCAAAACCTTTCACGGTTCCATCCTCAAGACTTACCTAAGAGAGACAGCTGATTAGTAAAAAAGAATGATTAAAACTGATATAACATCAGATTATCTATTATAAAAGCAAAGGAAAGTGTAACTCACCACAAAGGAGTGTTCACTGTGGGGATCCCAGGCTAAGCTTTCGACGTCAGACATGACAGACCATTTGAAGCCAGAGTGTGAAGGTTGTCTTCCATCTTTCTGCAACATAATATACAAACTTATTATATGGATAGTAATTGTCAGTAAAAGGTTGGAACATGAGAAAACAAAACATGGATGAAAGGAGTTAGTTACCAATACAACAGTCTGATCAAACGACCCACTAAGAAGCACTTCTGGTGCATAATGATTCCAAGCAACTGCTTGCACCTGTGTGAACCATAGAACACAATGAACCATGAGAATCTATGCAACTAAACTAAGGAGTTTATCATTCTACTGAGTCCTGTTCTTACCTCCTTTATGTGATGCTCCATAGTAATCTTACATGTTCCAGTAGCCACATCCCAAACCTTAACCTTTTTGTCGGCACTACCACTAGCAAGTATATTCCTAATAAAAAATTCAAAAGAAAATCAGAAAATCTACACAAACCTACGATCATAGGCACTGGTATAGCTCAAAACATACCGAAACTCCTTATTCCAAGCAAGACCAAGTACTGAATCAGTGTGGCTACCTTCTTTGAATTTCTAGAAATAAAGACCAAAAATCTTACACAAATGACTTTGACACGAACTTTAAAGAGCAGAAAAGACGAGTTTGATGTGGCAAACCTGCTTCTTACTCTTCTTTTTTTTCTTAATGATCTCCATCTCTTCTACTCCTCCCAGTTGTACACAAGGTAGCACCTCGTCCCTCTGAAACCATTACAATAACCTTATTAACAGTCTATTTACAGATAACAGCAAACATACAATGACACAGTTACTTGTACGTACAACATCAAGATCCCATATCTCTATTGTTGGTGTTTCCTTTGAGCCAATGGCTACAAAATTGCCTGCCAACACGTAAAGCAAAACACATAGTTAAAATGATATTTCATTCGTAGCAAGACTGATGTATAACAAAATTGTACACTAACCTTTCTCCCCTCCTTTAAGAGGACAATCCATCCATGCAGTACACAAGGGAAACTCCGGTATAATTATATGATGATGAACATACATGTTTGGAGAGCCATCAGCTGATTCCTCGTATACATAAACCTGATAGCTTTCATATGAGCCCCAACCTTTCACATTTTAACCTATAGAAGCAAGAAGGATACTGATCATATACCTCTAGATGGCTGACTTCATCTTCATTCCTAGCGCAGATAATCACTGAATCTGTTGGCTTGATTGTCGTATCATCAATATCCTCTTCATCATCATCATCCTAAAAAGTTCAAATCTTTTAACAACAAGTTTGCAGCATAAACAGAAACAGTGATATAAGCTTACAGCAGCATTTTTCAGATATGGATCCAACTCATTACTTGGGTAATAAAGATCCCCACGCCCAGAGCTGAAGAGTTCAATTCCTAAAGTCCAAACACAAGAACATAAATTCAGAAACAAACACCAAAAAAAAAAAAACTGAACAAGGCAAAACTCTACCATCATCCTCTTCATCGTAATTATCCATGTCAAGCTCTTTCATTCCAGCAGCAACGTCATCAACCTCCATCGAAGAAGAAGAAACGTTCTTGCTATTGGAAGATTTACCAAAAGCTTCTGCTACAGCCTTGGCATGATCAACTTCACTAATCTCATCTCCATCTTCTTCTATCTCTTCTTCATCCTCGTTACTACCATCCACACTGTTACAAGCAACCAACTTCATATCATCATCTTCTCATTTCCTAAACGGCAAAAAAAAAAAAAAAAGAAACAATAACTGACCTTGCTGAGAAGGCACCACTCTCAATGAGCTCTTTGATCTCTTCCTTTGAAGGAGGTTCAGCAGCCTCAGGAACAGGCTTTAAAGACCCTTTTGGGATCCATGAAAGTGCAGTTATCATTCTTCAAAAACACAGAGAGAGACATGATCATGGGTTAATAGTAATATATAGAAAGAATCAAACTTTCATCACATCATTGAAAATCAAAACTTTGACATAATCAATTTCATAACTTGGGTTTGGCAATTCAGGATATGACAATAAAGCTAAGACCTTTGAAATGGAATCAAAGAGAACTTACTTGTTTTCTTGCTTGAGAGAGAGAGAGGAACAAGAACAAACGGTTTGATTTAGGGTTTAGGGTTTAACAATCGGAAGAATTGCTTCTGAAGATTTATGGAGAGTGAGAGATGTAGCGGCGCTTCACGACGAAGAAGAAGAAGAAGAAGAAAAATTGCATAGAACTCCCTGAAATTCAAAAAGTGTTTTGTTATAAAAGCATTTCCAATGTATTACTCCATTCTATTTTATAATATCACTTTCTATTTATACTACTAGGTACTTGTCTGCGGGAAATATATGTCCAATAATATTAAATGTGTTTTTGTATTAAATTTTTTCATCAGAATGATAATTAATATATAACTAGATTTTGACCCGTCCTTAAAGAGGGTGGATCAACCGTTTTTGCTTTAAATTTATGCCCTTGTTCGATTATTCACAAGTATGTATAGGCATGAGTATCCGGGTTCAGATCGATTGTCATTAATAATTTGATTTGGTCCGACATATATAGATTAAATAAAATTACGTACAATTTAATGTGTGGTGTAGGATTTATTTATTTTATTCGTTTTAGTTAAATAACAAATTATAGGGACCCGATAAAATTATGAGTTCTATTCGGTAATCTAAAGTATTGATTTGTAAAAACTGAAATAAGATAATTAATTTTTTAATAATTTCATATTGGTTAAAATTGATGTTTTAAATAAAAATTATTTTTAGATATATTTTACCAATTCGTTTTTGAATCATTCCTAGACAGAGACCCGTTTCTTGTTGATAAAATTATTAACTCGTTTGTTAGATGACAATAGAAATAAAAAATGTATTTGTGAGATCCATTTGTACTCAAGAAATATTTAACATATTTAATGAAACAATCTGTAAATTTTAATTGTAAAATTTCTACTTCATTAATTGCAGATTAATTTTGTAAAATCAACTTTATTTTAAAATTTAAAATATTTATTTAAAAAATAATTAAAATTTATGTAAAATTATAGTTTTTAAGCGCATATATTTAGTAAATTTATGTCATATTGATTTTAAAATGCAATCTTTGTAGTTATTTATTTAAACTTAAAAATTAACATTTATTTGGTCATNATTAAAATTTATGTAAAATTATAGTTTTTAAGCGCATATATTTAGTAAATTTATGTCATATTGATTTTAAAATGCAATCTTTGTAGTTATTTATTTAAACTTAAAAATTAACATTTATTTGGTCATTTTAAATCATAATTGCATCATGTGTAAATATTTTAAAATATTGAAAAATATTTTTCACATAGTTTTAATTGTATTAAAAATATATTGGATATTTTTAATTTTGAAAAATAGATAAAACAATTATAGAACAAACAAATCAATCCTAAAATTAAGGAGGGGTTAAAATATTAGATTTTATTGTTATTTGGTTATTTAAAAAAGCTTAAAATTAATATTGTTGGATTAAATAGATTTTGTTAGGATTAGATAGATTTTGTAATGAATTAAATAAAAATCATAGGTTTTAAATATTCTAGTGGCATATCTGTAAATATTGTAGATTTTGACCCGCTCTTTGAAAGCGCGGGATTTCGTTTTTGTTAATAAAACTATTAATCCGTTTGTTAGTTTTTAATAAAAATGACAAATATATTAGTTTAACATGTTTATACTTGATAAATATTTTGTGACCTAAAGCAAATGACCATATTAAAATTTTTTTAGCTTATTCCCATATGTATATATATATATATATATATATATATATATCAAAATGAATTTTTGACCCGTATACAATGCAGAAATGATAATGATAATTGTAGTTAATATGGTATGTAAAATTAATGATTTGGAATGTATAAATAAAATAATATCTTTTTCTATTTAATTTTATTTCAAATTAAAAGACACTATTCATTTAAATCAATATGAATTATTACAATTTTGAAATACCCGCATAATCCGAATAATATTCATTTTATTAGATTTTTAGTTTTACATCACCAAGCATGATATTTTTTTAAATAAATATTATAAAATCCATATGTCTACCTATTAAGACTTCTTAATGGTAGATAAAAATGGTACTTCTCTTTTAATAGAGAAGATATAGACTATAGTTATAAATTTATTAAAAATATCAATCTATTTTATTTTTAGGTTATAATAAAATTTAATTAATATAATTTAAACTAATATTATGTTACTTAATTACGAATTAATTAATGCATTATTTAATAAAAAAAAATATTTAAAATGTTTAGTAGGATTTTGTTAGATTTTTCTCAACAGATTTCTTTATAACTAAAAATATAATTAAAATTAATAATGAAAATTAATAATCAAAATTGATTTATTATTAATATTTTATTGATTATTATGTTATATTATGCAATTAATGAAATGGACCTTGTAAGACTTCTTAATGGTAGATAAAAATGATACTTCTCTTTTTGGTTATACATATATACTTTCACATTATTGTTAGCGAAAAAGATGCAATTATAAATGTCTGAAATATTATTTTTTCCAGATCATAATTGAGATCAAAATACATACCTAAAGTTGAAATAAAATAAAGAAATTATAGCTTATGAAAAAAATTATAGTTAGCTATAATAAACTTCGATGTTGATAAAACTCGATGCAAAAAGATAAGAAACATCAAAACTCCGATGAAAACTGCACCTATTTTCGGCCATATCTGTTCCTTGGTTTGATCCAGATAAACATGTGAGATCACAAAGCACAAATTGAAGTGAGAAAACAATATACCAAAAGACACCATGAATTCTGGAAAAAAATTGAAGTTACATGAAAGTTATCGAGGTGATCAATTACATCGCTTCCATTCTTTAAACTTTTTATTTCTTGTATGATCTATAACCTCCTTCGATTCCTGTTATCTGGACGGACACACATCACTATGTCAATGTGGTTACCATCAAACATGAAATTTAAATTAACATGATAACACAATTAAATTAAGCAAACAATTAGGCAAACAAATAACTAACACAAAAAAATTCACATATAAGTCACGAATCTCTTTTGATTGTAGCCATTATCCCATTCTCTGTTAGACCTGTATAAAATCACAAGCATGACGTTTAAATTAGAACTATAATTTGTTGAAAAAAATAACAAAAAAGCTATGAAAACGAAAAGCGGATGTGTCGATTATTGAAATGAGAATACCTTTATATAATGATTTGAAGATGATATTTTGTTTAGCTTGCAACACAATTTACGGTGTTAAAGTTTATTACTTTTTGAAACTAAGTTAAATACTAAGATATTATTGTTAAGTATTTATTATAGAATATGTGGTAACAACAATAGATTTGTTAGAGATTCACATTAGTAGTTAGTTGTAGATAAGAATAATATATTTCTAATGAATACCAGTTTGATCTGCTAAATTATATTTAAAACCTTGAAATTCAGTTAATGTGTGTTAATGGAATTTGTTAAATCATTATAAACTGTATGCGTTAAAATCTAAATTCATTATAAACTGTATGTGTTAAAATTAGTTGTGTGGTTTGTGATCTTGCGGATCAAGTTTATTCAAAATATGGTAGATTAGATTTTATTGTTTTAATTATATAGATTTAAGTTACTAAATGATGCGATTTTTATGTTATGATTGGTTGTTACTGATATTTTAAATATATGATGATACTTAGATTGCTCAGCTATTTACAATCTACTATATTTGTTTTTTAATTTAACAACTTACCGAGATTTTAGTTTATTTGAGTAAAGTTTAGTTTTTATTTATTTATTTAATTTTATATATATATATAATTATTGATTTGATTATTCTATGAATAGATTACAACTTTAGTTAAGATTGCACAAAGAGAATTTTATGCTAAGAAGGATATTTTTTTATTTAAGAAAAAAATTTCGACTTATAAAACAAATTTGTTAAATTCGTTATGGTTCGGAATCGGTTGCGATATCATAATCGTAGAAAAAATTTATTCGAAATGCTACAATCAGTATATTCTAAAGAATAAGCATAAATAAAACAAAATATGCAGAGGATTACTCGTAATTATGTATTACTAAACATATACGTCGATTCATCATTTTAATGAGATAGTAATGTTTGTATGTACATTAATTGATATAATCGTATGCACATTTATTTCGTAATATGGATGGAAGGATGTGTTTGATTCAAAACGTACATGACAA